TTGGAAGACAGTTTGGCAGTTTCTTACAAAACTAAACCTATTTGTACCATCTGACTTAGCAGCTGCACTCTGTGCTATTTACCCAAAGAGAATGAAAACTTATGTCCACACAAAAATCTGCACATGGACGTTTACAGTTTTATCCATAATTAATTGCCAAAACTTGGAAGCAACCAAGATGTCCTGCAGTAGGTGAATGGATAAATGAACTGTGGTGCACCCAGACAATGGAATATTTATTACTTAGCACTAAAAACAAATGAGCCTGGGCCACCCCATGGTTAAATTCACGTGCTCTGCTTTGGTGGCCTAGGGTTTTGCTGCTTCGGATCCTGGGCATGGACCTAGCACCACTCATCAGGCTATGCTGAGGTGGTGTCCCACATAGCACAACTAGAAGGACCTGCAACTAGAATATACAACTACGTACTGGGGGGCTTTGGGGAGGAGAAGAAGAAGAAGAAAGAAAAGACTGGCAACAGATGTTAGCTCAGGTGCCAATCTTTAAAAAAAAAAATAGACATGAGCTGTGAAGCCATGAAAAGCATGGAGGAAACTTAAATGCATATTACTAAGTGAAAGAAGCCAACCTGGAAAGGCTACATACTATATGATTCTAACTGTGACATTCTGGAAAAGGCAAAACTATAGAGGCAGTAAAAAGATGAGTGGTTGCCAGGGCTTATGGGTTGGGTTGGAGGGATAAGTAGGTGGAGCACAGAGCATTTTTAGGGGAGTGAAAATACTCTGTATGATACTTATGATGATGGATATGCGTCATTATACATTTGTCCAAACCCAGAGAACGTATAACACTAAGAGTGAACCCTAATGTAAACAATGGTCTTTGGGTGATTACGATCTATCAGTGTAGGTTCACCAACTGCAAAACATGTACCACTCTGGTGGGGGATGTTGATAATGGGGAAGACTGTGCATGTTTGGGGGCAGGAGGTATACAGGAAACCTCTGTACCTTTCTCTCAATTTTGCCATGAACTTCAAACTGCTCTAAAAAAGAAGGAAGGAATGGAGCAAGGGAGGGAGGAAGAAAGGGAGAGGGAGAGAGGAAGAAAAGGAAGAAGAGAGGAAAGAGGGAAGGAGGGAGGGGGGCAAAGAGGAAAGGAAGGAAATAAAGGAAGAAAGTCTTTTTTTAAAAAAGAAAACCATTTAAAAAGTGTTAAAATGTGAAAAGAAACAACAAATTATGTAGCGGATGATTAAAGCAAAATTCAATTAAGTGGTTACCTCTTGTTGGGGAAGAAAGGAGTGTGATTAGAGAGGGCACATAGGAAATTTCTAAATTAATGGAATGTTCTATTTCTTAAGATAATTTGGGTATTTTCTTATTCTTTAAAGGTATACTCATTTTTATACTTTTGCGTGAATTTTTTACACACACAGACACACACAAAAAACCACAATATGGATCTCAATATACCCAAGACTGTCTCTGGAATTTGATTTTTTAACGTATTATTTCTGATACTGATTTGTTACTATCATTCTTGTTATGGATATGAGACATATTAGTTAATTCCAAGGCCAGAAAAGGAACAACGACAGGTCATTTTTCTAAAAACCATGGGTGACATCTGTTTTTAAAGTTGACCAAGTGGGCCAAAGGGATAGGTCTTCCCCTCAGGACTCAAGTATGGTGTCTCTGCCTCCATAATGTCCACTCTGTCTCCTCCCAGCCAAGCCTGGTCCCTCACTCTTGGCTTGCCTGCACTTGGCCTTGGAATACAGCTTTTCTTCTGCAGTCACTCCCTCTTACCATTTGTTTTTGGTCACAAGCTTGGTGTTCAGACTTCATCTGATCCACTTCTCAGCCTGTTCATGAGTCACCCTTGCCTGTGGTCAACTGGCACTCCCACACAGGATTGGTAGGAAAAGATGAATCAAACCAACAAAATCGCTTACAAAAGTCAGAAAGGACCTCATGGGGTTGTTCTCCAGACCCAGCTATGCTAAAATCAGAGGGAACCTGAGAGGATATACTGAGCACGCCCCATTTTGGACAGTATTTCTCAAAGTGAGTGTTGCAGAGATCAGAATCACCTGAGGGACTTAGTAAAAAGGCAGATTACTGAGCCCACTCAGAGCTACAGAAGAGCATCTGAGAATGGGGTCAAGGAGTCTGCTTCTCTGAAAAGCACCCCAGATGATGGTTCTGATGTTATGTGACTTCCTTGTGAGATTGGTATCATTGAGAAAACTTGCCCTATTAAATAAGAGCTGATTAAATCATTGATATAACCTCAGATGGTGAGTGATGAGTTTTTATCTTGTCAAACATGGACACACCACCAACCAGAATGATGAGCAGCAACCAAGCCATGTTGAGGAAAAAACGTACAGCTGTACTATTTAGCAGGTGTACTACTTAAATACTGTTCAAATTTACTCACTCACTGTGCAGTAGCTCAAATACTAGGTAAGGGATCAGCTTAGGTAAGAAAAAAAGAGAAAATGGCCTCTGTCTTCTAAATTACTCCTCTCCCTTCTCACTGGTGCAGCCAGATTTGTTCTGGGGAGTGGGGGCTGGTGGGTAAAATTAAAATGTTTTAACAAGCAAGGGAGAGGGGACACACCCACTATAAACGTCTGATCTGCCTGTACTAGTGCAAATCAGTTGAGTGTCAGCCCCACCCTTCTTCAACAGCAAATAGTTTCATCCAAGATTGAACCAGAAGAGTGTGTCTCTATCCATTCTATTTTGGCGAAACACAACAGACGTGATCAGAGCCTCAATGTACATTTTGCTGGATTTGCTTTCTGTAAAAAAAAAAAAAAAGTGGTGATTCAAGAATTATAAAACATCCAGCCTTCTGAACTACCTGAAATGTTACTATTACTTCAAATTTATAATGAGCTCCCATGACCCCAATTTCCCAGTCATGCAAACATTTGTTCTATGGTTAAAGACCTAGTGAACTGGTACCTGGGAATTTCACGTGTGAGAAAGGGCATATTCCTGGCATGCAGCCTTAATGGAGGTGCACATAAGACACAAAGCCTCCGTGTGCCTTGGGAACATGAACTAGAGACTCAACTGGAAAACTTTCTGTTTCACACCAGTTAGAAACGTAAAATACAGCTACCATAGAGCTTAATTGTACAGTGGTAGTTTCAACTTCTGTATCGAGACAATTTTTTGCATTTTCTTGGGATTGGCCCACAGCTACAGCCATATTGGACAGATGTTTTTAACTCTAAATGCAATGTAGAATTACCTATCATTTCTTTGCTATGCAGATTGAATATTTTGCATGAGCATCCAAAAACACAAGTTTATAGTGTGAACTTTTTATGTTTATTGTTTTCTACCACCAAATGTATTGTCTACAGATGGAAAACTCAAGAGTCTTTGATGGGCGGTGAGGAATTGCTCAAAAAGATTCAGTTACACACAGAGACGTATTACACATAATGTTGGGAAAGGCAAGATTACAGAGTTATCAATATATGTATAGGAGCAATCCTCATCTAAAACTGGTGTTTCAGGGATTCCAAATGATCATACTCAACAGCTGGGCCTATTTGCCAGACTTGGTCAATGGAAAATACCGCTACTTTTCTCCCCCTTATGGTTTCCTACCCTCTCAATTGCCTCTCTGTGAAAAGAAAGTGGCATGCTGCCTTATCGCTGCTGCTCCTTATTACCCTCAAATGATAGCAGTGAGAGCAGGCACGATGATTAAGCAATGTGGCAGCCTATTTTTATGAGTTTACCTTTAAAGACAACCAAGAGAATTTTAGAGAAGTGGATGGAGGGTTTTACAACTACAGGGAACTGCTGTAGAGTATTTATTTTTGAAAGTCAATGACTTCCTTGCAGTAAGGGTGCTAATCAATAATTAAATAGCTATTTTGAACAATTGTGAAGGTAACATGTTCTTAGAAAAAAAGCATACAGAATTACACTTCTTATAGGAGTGAGCAACCTTTTTGGAGTCACTTCATTTTGCCATAACTTTCAACTTCTTACAAAAGTATGAAATTTGTGCTGTATGAAATTTTTTTTGAATCCTAAAGACTTGGTTTTGTGTTGAGAATTTTGTGGTAATTCTCAACTACAAATATGCAAGTAGGTTTAAAGCAACTGTTTTAAGATATATGTAGTCTAGTTTGGGGTCTCAAAAATGTTATAAATTTTTATTTAGCGTGGTCAAGGCTAATCAAAGGTTCTGGATAATGATTAATATGTAGGTATGTATGTATATATACACACACGTACATTTAAGGATTACTGATTACATTTAAGGATTACTAATTACATTTAAGGATTACATTTAATTACATTTAAGGATTACTAAGCAATTTATACTTGAAACAAAATGTAATCTTTGGTGATTCAGAAAGCATTCTCTTTTATCTTGCAGAATCCTGATATCAAAATCAGTTTTCTGGTAATGAGCCAGTTATGAAATACAGCACAGGAATATAAAAAGGGGAGAATTTCTTCTCCTATGGCCTCAGTTTATAGAACTGGGAGTACTGGAGTTAGAACTGGAAGAGGTGGTGAGTACTGATCTTCTTTTGGATGCATCCTCATATGCAATATGAAAAACCTAAGCTCTATTATCAACAACTGCAATGCCCCCAAATAAAAGGGTCACAGACATCAGGCCCAAAGTATACAGTAGACAAAAAGTTTATAGAGTGCAAAATGACAGGGACCTTGGCCATGAGACTGCAGAATCACATATAACTCTCCAGCATTCCTACTGGGCAATGCTCTATAGATGCACTGCACTGGAACTCACTGTTAACCTTTTCCAACTCAACATGAGAGGGATTATTTTCTCATGAAAACCTATGTCTTAGTTTCAGAAGAGAAAGCAATAAAAACAGTGTACCAAAATTTGCTTTTACAAACTAACTGCACCAGGTTAATAAACTGAACATTTACACTTCTGAATTTCAAGGACCTAAACCTTGTCACATACTCCCCACCCAACTACTCCCCACCATTTTTTTAGATAACATGACATGAAGTAGTTTGGAAACACTTTCAGAAAAAGTTTCTTTATTTCTGTTTATTCATTTATGCGATGACAGTATCAGCAATAGGTAATAGAAACATGCTCTTAAGTTTAAAATTAATTTTCCATTTTGAAAGGTTCAGGACTTTGTCTTTTAAATACTTCAGTCCAACAAAGTAGACAAAAAGTTTATTCCCTTACTTTTATTAAGGTCATACTGGAATAACTATAATAGGCTCTTTAGAATTTAGGTTTCATTTATAGTAACCTGGAGATTTAATCACAGAACAAGACATGTAAGAATGTTATAGCACACACACAAAAAAGTATACAGAATCTTAAAAAGGACAAATTTCAGGGCACTTTCAAATTCTGAGGTGTAAGAAAGCCCTCATGGGGATCCTTAAGTTAAAAGACTCTTCCCTTTAGATTCAGAATGAAACCTATTAATAATTGTAAGACAACAATGGGCAATGATCACATGGCCCATGGTAGCTGTATTAGATTAGGGATAAATGGAGTCTCCATGTTTTAGTGAAGAGGCCAATGAAAGAAAGGCCAGGAAGCCATTTTAAACTCATGTCCATGGCAGGTATTATCCCACTGCTACCTTTCCAAGGCTTAGCCCTCGAAGTGCTCATACTGCTACTTCTCTTCTTAACATCAACTGTTCTAGGAGCAAACCTCCTGGAAAAAAGGTGGTACAGACTGGAAAAGCAAGACTGTGGGTACAGCAAAGGGGCTCTGTGTGCTCTAGTTGTCTGTCACGATATACAACATCTAATGAGGAGACCAGCTAATCTAGAAATGGACTGTTAACTCTGACTCTAGCATTTTCTTGGGATATATGCTTACTAAACAACTTTTGTGGTTTAGAAAGGCCAAAACTACTTTAATTCTCCTGGACATATTTTACTTTAAAAAAGGGAATATAATAGGCTAATAAACAAAAATAAAAATCTATTTGCTCCTTAACAAATAATATTTCAATGTTTTTATAAAAACAATTCCTTTCAGATACTCTGATTAACTTTTAAATGACATAAGAAAGTTTCAGGATTCTTGAATACCAATATTTTGCACAATTTAAGATACAGCCATTGAGTTTGGCATTTCAAGGAAAAATAAAATTAAACAAAAAAAGGAAAATGGTAACTCACTAAGAAGCGTATGTACCTAGTAAAGTTTAGTCTGTCTTGGATTCTGAAAAAAAAATTAGACCCAGAATTTTAGTTATCCTAATTACCATCTCAATCAAACAGGATATCTATGTGTGAATTCTAGATAAAAGATAAAATATTTTGAACTAATAAATGTAAGACCCACTGATTGGACTGTTTGTTTAGAACCTGTTTTACTGGGTTTAGATAGGGAAGACTTCAATAAAACTAACTATATATTGAGTTCCACTGATTAAAAATGCAGTTTTAAAAACTCTGCTTTTGTGGTAAATTTCTAGACAAATCATAAATGTAAAGCACAATATTGTAAATATTGTACTGTCTACAGGTACTTGTTGGAGAAGCGAAATGGTTGTATTCAAACTACCAAAATTCTGACCTTTCAAAATAGTAGGTTATCTAAAACAATTTCTTTGAAAATTAGCATTTGCTTTAAACTCTTAAAATGTCAACTTCAATTTAAAAAAAAAGTCCTTACAGATAATTTTTTTTAAATATTCCTTTCAGTCTCAATTATTTTTTACTTTCAACTATATTTTCAACACAGAACCAGTTTCTAAACAATCTAATGAAAAACAGTTACAATGTAAAACAAAACTAGGCAATCTAATACAACTTGTATAGAAAGTCTGAGTGGGATTTATCAAAATTCAGAATTAAATTTCTATAATAGTGAAAAACTTCTTTCAGTCTCTTCTTAACACTCAAAACCAGCAACTTCCCATGAGACTAGAAAGTTAGCAGAGAGGATCAAACCGATTTAAGCACTGCCCGACTTCTTCTAAAGTGATGCACTCTTCTATCCTAGAAAAGACAGAAAAGTCCTTTTTATTTTATTGAAAATTTCCCATTATCACTATGACCTAAGAAAGGTGCAAAATACTTAAAGCATTTATTTTGGGTTTAAAATCTACAAATAATGTGAAAAAAATGTGTTTAAAATCTATAAATAATGTGAAAAAAAATAATGTGCATTCCTGAACTTTGGGCTAAGAAATGTACCAAGGACTAGTTTTATTCAACAATTTTTAAAAGAGAAATCTCAGTAAACTTAGAAACACAGGGCTTAAAATCAATATCATTTTATGTAGCTTCTTAATTAATAATTTGGCAATGATGTCCCAAAGACAGCTGGTGGAAATTGCACGTAATTTTAAAAAGTACTGCTTTTACTAACATAAGTGCATCTGGTAGAAATCATAGCTCCCCACTTCAATCTGAAACCCTATGCTTTTAGGTTAAAAGACAAAAGTTTTGGCATATTTAAAGGCATATCCTCAATATGTGATGAAGATATATCATTCTTTAGGAAATGAAGGGAAAAACTAAAAATACATGCAAAAATTTCCTTTTACTTTATGTTGCCTGCAGATGGGCAGATAGAAGGAAGTGAAGCCTTACAAAGGAGCTGAGTAAACCAGTAATAACATGAGTATTTTCTTCTCCTGTGCCCTTCTCCTAGGGATTAAATTCCATTGTCATATAAAAAAGGGTGACTCTTGGAAATTATGTAATCTATCAATAGAGTAATACCCTATTTAGGCTGAAGCCAGAAAAGTGGTCACAAACTCAAGTATCTTCAAAGGTCAGATAGGATATGAAAGATTATGAAGGCCTAGAATTAAAACAACAGAGTGGAATTTACCATGGAAAACAGGGTATATACCCTGTCTCACGGCATTCAAATTCAATTAAAACAATAATAGTAACATTTAGCCAATAAAAATAGGTATACATGCTGGGTAACTGCAGACTACCAACTTTAGTGGACTCCTAGTCCAGAGGAGCAGAAAACTCTGGAATATTCAAAAGGAGGCTTTTGTCTAATACCAGGTGAAAACTCAAGTTTAAAGACTATTTTCTGCTTTGCAAACAAATCGTTTAGGTACTTTAACCTTCAGAACTTTGGGCAAAGTAAGCTGTCATACAACCCCAGTTCTTTCCTTTTAAATTGTACTGTCCATGCAGAATGAAACAAGAGAATGAACATCAACTTGAAATGAATATGTTGATTCCCTGCTGAGAGGATGGTAAGAACTTAACTCTGCTATAGGTATACTCTCCTGCATTATATGAAGTCCTTAGTATACCCTTTAAAAAAGCTTTAAGCTTCATCCTACGTTCATTCACAGATCGAAAAAGCTATTCTACTTTCCCTGTTTTAAGACACAAAGCAATGGTTAAAAACTTTCCTTTGAATGTAAAATGGTGCAGTCATTTGGGAAAAATTCTGCCAGTTCCTTGAAAAATTAAATATAGTTACCATATGACTCAGCAATTCCATTCCTAGGTATACAACCAAGAGAAATAAAAACATATGTCCACACAATAACTTGTACACAAATGTTCATAGCATTATTCGTCAGAGCCAAATAGTGGAAACAACCCAGATGTCTATCAAGTGATCAACGGATAAACAAAATGTGGTATATCCATAAATAAAAAGTGAAGTACTGATACATGCTGTAACACTGATGAACTTTGAAAACATTATGCTAAGTGAAAGAAGCCAGTCACAAAAGGCCACATATTGTATTATTCTATTTATATGAAACGCCCAGAATAGGAAAATCCTTAAAGAAAGTAGGTTAATAGCTGCCCACAGCTAAAGGAGTTGGGGGGAAATGGAGAGTGAGTGCTAATGGGTAGCAGGTTTATTTTTGGAGTGATTAAAATATTCTAAAATTGACTGTGGTCATGGTTGCACAACTCTGCAAATATACTAAAAAGTATTGAATGACACCACACTTCAAATGGGTGAATTGTATGTGAAGTATATCTCAATAAACCTATTATAAAAAAACAAAAAACAACTTCCCTTTACCAAAGCACAGTATTCCTCCCCTATTAGAGTGACCAATTAGTTCCTTTCCATATTCATAAACTCAGAACTGAAGAGATCTTAGAGACCTTTAGTCCTGTGTCTCTTCATCTTAGATTTGTACAAACTGGAGCCTTAATAAGACTTAAATGATTTGTCCCAGGTGACACAACCAGGATCAGAGACCAGAACTTTCTTAAATTCAAACACCCATGATCTCTTCTATTTCACCAACTCTGAATTAACTTTCATTTTCTACTTAGCTTTTTTTACTGCTTTACTTTTCCTCTTCTTTCCACACTGTTCAGGTATGTCATCCGAGTGATCAGTTTTTTTTCCTTCCGTGTACTCATAAATTCTGTTTTCTGTATCTGAAATTTTCTCTTTTTCTATTTGGTCAAGCCAACATTCTCTTTCAATTCTCTTCTTTCATGAACCCTTTCAATTATATGCTTCTGCTAAAAGTTTCTTCCCCAAGCACAAACCACACTATATCAAGGTTTGAGCAGCATAAGATACACTGCCAGGTAAAACTCACTCACGTGGTTTACTGGGTTACAGGCAAATGCTAAGAGTTCAATTAAATGCTCTACGTAATCTCAAAATACATATATACCACAGGAAAAAAAGAGTTTCATAGCGAACAAATGTGCTTTTTATCCTGTATACTATTGCTTTCATACCTTGAAATAGTCATCTTGAGTAACAACAGAGTTTCTCAGTCTGTTCTCTGGATTAAATAGACAAGATACCACCGTCTGTATGCTTCGGTCCACAGACTTCTGAAATACAAATGTTTTCAGTAATCTAAAGACTACGCCTCCTTTTACTCACTGTAACAAGCTTTTTAGAAAAGTTTAATACATATTATTTCTAAAGAACTCCTACGTAATTCATAACTCTTACCAAATGTCACAGTGTGTAACTTTTGTACCAAATTTAAAAAACATTTTAGAATCTTAGTGATAAGAGTACTGGTTTAAAAAGCTCAATTTAGTAAAACGCATAAGATATTTGCTCAGGGCTCTATAATTTTTCCTGTTTGATAAGAAACAGTGAACTTCAACGTTTCAAGAGAAAATATCCAGGGTGAAACCTCATAATATACTATACTGTAAGCTATTTTTTCAAATTTTAAATCGTGTATCAAATCGGAATTTTTTCACCCTACAGTTCAGGAGTTTTCAACATTTTTTTTTCCACTGAGAAACACATGAATCAAGTTCACACACTCCAGTGGGAATCTTTCAATTTTATGCATATTCCTGTCACATCAATTACTTCCACATTCCTACCCATTCAAGAAAACACAGGAGAGTTCAAGAGAGAGAACACTGTTATTACAGGAATCTGCTCTAACAATTAAAAAAAAAACCAAACAACTACTCTACCTATTTCAGTATTTCAATTATTACTAGCAACTCTACCATGCTTGAGAGCTGCTACCACATATAATGTTATAGAGAGAATACCATAAATAATTGTGGTAAATGTTTAAATTGGTAAAAGACAAAATAGACACAATTCATACTAATCCCTCTTTTGAAGAGGAGAATTTCTTGAGGAAACTTGCCCATTGCATTCTATCAAATCACGTTACAATGTTTATTAAAGTATGGTTAAAAAACAAACAAAAAAAGAAAATGGAAGAAGGACAACTGAATCAGAAATTATATGTATACATTCAAAGCCTGTATATGTATACATTGAAATTTCATCAACTTTTACATAAACTGCCAGATTATCAATCATACAAGCTCTGTAATTTATGGCTTCCATATTTAAATTCAGGCAAAGATGCTTGCTTCTCCAAGAGTTATTATTAAAACTTGAAAAATATATGAAAATATAAATACTAATAAACAAAATTAGATGTTTGCCTTTTGTGGGCCATTTCCAGAAGATGGAGTAGCTTCATGAACTGAGCATTCACTTGTCAAAACTTCAGCTCCTGCATCAACTTCATTACAGTGGTAGTTAACTGCTGTATAAGCCTACATTTAAAATGATAGAAGTGTAAATAAAGAGACGTAGGTTAGATAAATTTCTAAACAATCTACTCTTCAAAATGGTGCACTAATATTGAAAGTTTAAATGGGGTTGTGTTGAAATTCAATTACATTACTTCAGAGACTTTATTTTAAACTGAACAGCTGAAATGCAGTAACTCAGCCTTCTATCTTGAAATGCCTTCCAAGCTTCAGCATAATCACAGTTAGAAGGGCTCTAAGAAAAAGAAACTCTAACACGTAGTAAGGGAATGGGGATTTCCCAGTGTCTGAGACTTTTAACTCATATTATAATCTTCAAATATCCAATCCTGATGACAGACAGAAAGTAACAAAGGCTCAGGTTTTAGATGTAGCACTCTCTTTTGTTTTATTCCTTTTCTTATATTATATATAACTGCATTAATGGCAAAACATTTCTTTCTCTTCAACGGATTTTTTCATGGATAGAAAACTAGAGGTAAGATTCAATACTAATTCTAAATCTATAGAATTAAACTTAGCATACATATCAATACTACCTTACTTGGATTATATTCTATCAACAAGTAACTGAGCACCTGTTGTACACAGAGCAGCCATTGCTTAAGCACACAAAAACCAACTAAGAAACAAAAAACAGTTTCTCCCATGGGGGTATATATTTGGGTGGACAAGAAATTAATAAAACATAACACATAATGTAAAAGGGCATTTTAAAATATTTGTAAGCATACATGATACGGCAAAGAAACATACAATGGTCAAACAAAAAAATACTTTAAACAACAGTAGGTATGTTTGGGTAATTCACCTTACCGGAGGTATAACATAACTCCTTTGTTCCCCAACAGGCCACTGTGGCGGCATCTTAAAAAAAAAGGGGGGGGTGGGAGAAATAACTACTATTTAAATATTTCTATGCATTTTCACAAAGACATGATAGACAATGTTGAGGTATTATTCATGCTGGCTCCTTGAACTTGTTATAATAAAAGAAACAGAATGAAAGAAAAAGTACTTTATGTTTCTAATACTTGAGGATTTTATTGCTACTTCATATATAAACCACCTTTTTCTCAAGTTTCTGGAGTTGGTTTTCAGGAAAACTCAAAGATAGTTGTTCTTTGAATTTATTATCATAAATATGGTCCTATATATGGGCAGAGATTCAGAGAACACCTATCTTAAAGTAGCCAGCTAAAATAAACACTACCAAATATAATTGGAATTCAATGCTCTAAGAATTGAGTAATCATTTTATTTGAACCTATCTCCCTAGAAAAATTTATGAAAGTTAGCCTGGATGTTTCAGCTATTTGACAGCAAAGAGGGAAGAATACATTTTGAAACATAAAAAGGAATATCAAATCTTATAAGACAGTACAAGAGAAAACTTCTTGCTAAGTACACTGCTGTCAAAATATCATTCTCTTATTATTTCTAAACAATATAGAGGCCCTAATTCTAGACTAATGCTAAGTTTTTTCTTAAATTTTAGGCAAACTCAACTAGTTTAAATGACAAACTATTAGGGAAATGTATATAAATAAAAGCCTTAATAATATTTCAAAGCAAGTCATTTTGTTCCCTCCTAAATTACCTGATAATTATATACAGGCAGCTGATATCCAGTGATGACCTGGACTGGTGAACTTGGATAAGGAGGATATGCCTGAAAATAAAGTTTACAGAAAAAATGGATTAACAAGGTAAATTTTTAAAAAGTAGAAAGGAGGAATATTATTCCCAATATAACAAGAATGAGAAAATAAAGAAATCTTAATTATTTTTCTATATACAATGAAGGATTCTGTTCAAGTAACTGGCTTCATGAAGAAAAAATTATTCTCTATCAAAAGTTAGCCTTTTGGGTGAGGAGGGATAAATGGGGAAGTGACTGATTTTGCCAGCATAAGTTTATCTTATTTGTATATTTATCCCCACCCAGAAGTTCCTTCTTACACCGCTTATAAGGTTCCTTTAGGATAGATTTCCATGTTAAAGTTCTATTAATACACCTGCTATTTCTTTGTAAAAATACTTTTAGGCAGTTCTGTATTTCTTTGACAACATAGTGAGGTAATATATAGTCAATGTGTGGTCTTCCTATAGACTTTATAGCTCTTTCTGTACTTTACTTCTAAAAGTTAAGGGCCACATAATAACCCCAAACTGGAAAAGAAACAGTACAATGTCTTACATCTTTCAATACATATTGATTGAGAATATCTACGTAGTAGCATTCATGCATGCACGCAGAATAGGTAATAGCTCACAGTATATGTTAGGAACAAGTAAGGCTTTTCTTCTAGCCATGTTCAGAGAAACAAAAATAAGAAAAGATATATCCTAAACTTCAGGTAGATGAAAAATGTAAACAAAGGAGAGACACTGTAGAACTATTTCACTATTATTTTCTGTCTTTTCCTGCAAATCAAATGTCTTTTAAACTAAAGAAAGTAAAATGAACTAAGAAGAAAATAAATGTTATTTATCATCAAAAGGAGACAGTAAGTATTCCAAATCCCACTTCAAGTATTAAAGTAACTAGGACCAGAAAAATTATATACCAGAAACTCATAGAATTTACAAATATAGTTCAATGATCAGAAACCAATCCATTCTAGAACCAGAATACATCCAAAAGTCAGTAATCTATATGAGGAGGTATCTGGAAATCACTGCAAATACAGAACAGCCAGAAGAACTGCTAACCTTAGAGAAGAATAAACCAGACAGACATGAGGAAAGCTGCCTTCAAATATTTTAGGAGTAATCATATGGGGGGAAAAGGGAAGAGATATGTTCTATGTGGCTATAGAGGTAAGCTCTAAGATAAATACTTACAAAGCATACAGAAACAGATTTTAGCTTAGTATAAGGAATAATGCTAAGAATGACAGATTTTTAACAAAAGTAATAGATTTCCCATCACTCAAAGTATTCAAACAGGGACAGGATTATCACTTATCATGGAAATTGTGGCTCTAATTCCAGAGAGGGTTAAAAGGAGAGACTGGGTTACTTTTAAGGTACCGCCATCTACAAGTCTCCAATACTATAATAAATGAAGAAACAAGAATGTAGGTAATTTTTACCTGAACATATTGAGTAATAGGATTCATCATGGTTGGAGGCTGCATGTAAGTTTCAGTGTTTGGATTACTCCAGACACTCTGAAACTGTGGTGGCGGTGGAGGATTAAAAACCAAAGGACGTGGCTGCACATGATAAGCACCTTTTTAAAGAATAAAAAAACAAAGCTTATTTTTAGTTCTGAAAAGCTAAATTTGTCAACAAGAACAATTCCTTTCTTTACTCACATAAATTTTGTTTCCTGATTGCAGGGCCAAGTTTCAGCTTTTTACCATGGAAATTTATTTGTGACTGAAAATAAACAGTAACAAAAGTAGAATCAATTTCCAAGTCTTTACTTCTAAGACTTCGGTAAACATCCAAAGTCCTCTAAAATTCCCACTATCAGAGAAGACTAGCAGTAGGAATATAGCAAATCAAAATTTATCAGCGTGAATCTACCTTACTTACTCTCACTACTCTAGACAAGCGTCTGGAGGTTTCTCAGAATTTGATCAAAACCTTTACACTGTTTCTGACCTTTCCTATCTCGAGCTCATGAAGCTAGATGCCCAATCAAAAATAAATAGGTTCTGACGAACTATGTAAGATTACTCTGAGTTTGGATTTCAAACAGGAAGTCTACCTCTTTCTATATTTTATACAAGACTGAGTACACATTCACGACTCAAACAATACTGAACATTGCATCCATAACTAATTAAGAAATTTTTTCCATAATAAGATTACTTACTTCTACAATCTTCTGCACATCCACATCATTATAAAATGAAACAAATCCATAGCTAGAAAGGCAGATAAATGAAGTATGAAATCACCACTAAATAACAGCACATGGTTTAAAAGTTATAGTGTTCTACTAAATAACTGAGAGAAGTGATAATGATAAAGGATGAAGAACACACTGAGATAAATATTGATAAGACGCATATGACAGATCCTCTATAAATATTATTGCTTTTTGTTTTCTTACTTTGATCTATGTCAGAATGCACTAAGATTAAGGTAGTGTGGGAACCTCAGTAACAGAAAATTCCTATCTATAAACCTGAATTTAATTTATTATCTATGGTAAGATGGTTAAAATTTAAAATTCTGTGAAATATGTAAACAAAACAACTCGGATAAAACTGATTAATCCATTTACGTGAAATAAATGAAGATGGGAAATATTTAAATACAAACACTAAGAAAATGATTAAATAAAAGAGTTAGCAGCAAACTTTTATCCTCTACATGACAGAAACTAACAAAACAACAAATTTCATTTATACAAGTATAAGAATATAAGTTTTGAATTCTTCTCTGATACACTACAGATGCTATAGTTCAGATCTTTTTTATAATCTATACTGAACGTTTTACTCACCCTTTGGACACACCAGTTCGATCCGTGATTATCTTCACTTCTTTTACTGAACCATATCTAGCAAAGAAACTTCTAATTTCGGTTTCATCCATCTATGGAAAAGAATTTGACTTCAAGAGTAAAATTTCAGCATCCAAAATTTTTAATTATACTATAAAACAGGTTTGATGATGTGGAAGTATCTCCCCCAAGTACCCCCAAACTACCTATAGCTCTTTGTTAAAGGTATTTTTTAGTCCCTATAGGTTAAACATAAAACCAATTCCAAACCAGCATGAAGTACAAAAAAACCTTATGTTTGCAACAGGGCCAAAATCTCATATTCACAAAATACTTTTAAAATAAATGAAATATCAATACAATACCCTAACATCAATTCCACCAACAAAAATGGTGTTTGGCATGATTTTGCCTTCTGGTAAAACATAGCCTTGGCTGGTTGTAGCCGATGAGGACTGGGTGCTGGCCTCTCTTGAGATAGTTGAGTTTGGAGTCTCAGGGTTTGCAGCAGACTGTAAATTAGAAAGCAGGTATCATCACCAGACATACAGGCAAAAACCATACAAGATGTAAAATATAATTTTGGTATTTAAAGTAGAAAATATTTTCATATAAATTACTTTCATTTAAATTAGTCATCAATACAGCTTAGTTCAGGCTCAGGATTTAAAGTAATCAGATTAGATCAGTGTGAAATTTTAACAAAGGGGTATAGTACTTCCTTAAGTTCAGTGTTGCTCATCACCATCTCTTGTAACAGTGCTGTAGAATACTGATTTTATACTGAGTTTGTGACAACACTACATGAACTGGTAAAAAATAACTGGAAAGTTCAGATTTGTAAAAAAAATTAAGTTATTAAAGTCATCCTGTTCTGTGCCAATAAGCAAATTTTCATTTTACTAAGGTTCTTATTAAAAAGCATGATAAATCTTTAAAAAAGATAAAATTTTTTTAAAAGCTACATTAAAAAGAAAATGAACATAAAAGTTTTAAACCGATTTGTTTTGCCACATCTTTCTATTTACCAAAATTAACATGGATTTTATAATTATAATGCAGTCATGCATCACTTAATGATGGGGATACATTCTGAGAAGTGTGTCGTTAGGCAATTTTGTTGTTGTGCGAACATCATAGAATGTACTTACATAAACCAAAATGGTTTAGCCTACTACACACCCAGGCTATATGGTACAGCCTATTGCTCCTAGGCTACGAACCTGTACAGCACATTACTGTACTGAATACTGTAGTCAACTGTCACGGAATAGTAAGTATTTGTGCATCTAAAAACAGAAGAATATGTTTACAGTAAAAATATGGTATCCAAGATAAAAAACAGTACACCTGTATAGGGCACTTACCGTGAATGGCGAGTGCAGACTGGAAGTTGCTCTAGGTGAGTCAGTGAGTGAATGTGAAGGCCTAGGACGTTACTGTACACTACTGTCAACTTTATAAACACTGTACACTTAGGCCACACCTAAACTTACAAAAAATGTTTTTCTTTCTTCAATAATAAATTAACCTTAGCTCACTGTAACCTTTCCACTTTGTAAACTTTTTCATTTTAACTTTTGACTCTTTCGTAATAACACTTAGTTTAAAACACAAACATACAGCTGTACAAAAATATTTCCTCTTTTTATATCTTTATTTTATAAGCTTTTTTCTATTTTTAAATCTTTTAATTTTTTTACTTTTTAAACTGTTTTGTTAAAAACTAAGACACACACACATTAGCCCAGGCCTCCATAGGGTCAAGATCATCAATATTACTGTGTTTCACCTCCACATCTTGTTCCACTGGAAGGTCTTCAGTTTGTTTATACCAGCATCACCATAAGCATATGAGTAATGCATTGCACTACGATGTTATGACGGCTACGATATCACTAGGCAACAGGGATTTTTCAGCTCCATTATCATCTTATGAGACCACCATCATATATGTGGTCCGTTCTTGATCGAAACATCATTATACAGCATATGATTGTACTTCCTGTGTTAGTATTCCTGCTTTAGTTTGGAAATGGGTCATGAAAGCATTATTTGCTCACATATCACTACTTCTGCTAAAAAAAGGGTTTATAATTCTTTTCCCTAATGCTAGGGTATTCAAAGAAGCTTTTGAAATAAAATTTTTCTTCTGGAGTAACACCAAATCAGTCCCACAGATAATTCTAATTTTCACAGTAGGCTGATATAAATGACACCATCTTTATTTTTAGATAAAGAGACTCACACATGAAACATTATTTTTCTGGATTCTGGTCAGAACTCTGTCTTTAGTCTTTCCACTCTAAAGTTAATGTAATTTTTTCTGCAGCAGAATTTACTGGTAATATATATGTTAGAAAAGCAGTATAGCATAGTGAAACAAAAATAAACTTAGTACGGAGATCGAGGTTCATGTCTCTTACTAGGTTATAAGCCACTTACTTGGCAGATATTTATCTCTGGGGAAATTACTTTGAGAATGAAGTGAGATAACGTGTAAATTCATTTTGTAAAGTATAGAGTGGTATGCCAACATAAATTAGTGTCCTGTTATATACATTTATTTTCAATAGGTTAAAAAAGTTTCTTTCGTGATTTTATTATTTACTTACTTTGTAGATACTTTATTAACAACTAATCTGAGCTGAAACTTCAAGAAACTACTTTATGGAACATCTACTCATTTGAAATTAATTTATGAAGTGCCTACTGATTCTAAGAGGTAAATACAAAAGGCTGAGAGAGAAATAAAGCTATCATACCTCTGCTTCTGGAGGAAAACAAAAGGAAGGACCAAAAAACACAACTGATAGGTATTTTTAAAAAGGTAAGGATAGTAATTTTTATATTTTCTATAATTTTTATAGAAATTAGTAACAGTAAGGAAAAAGTAGAAAGACTTCCTATTTTGTTAGATACTAGAAGTTACTGATAAATTTAAGATTCTACAAACTGCTATACTAATTAGACATGAAATCAAAACTGTCAAATCATCAAATTTGAGCATTTTGACTTTTCTCTATTAATTTGTGCTTATATTTGCTATTTTGTGTTTCTATTTGAATACTTCCTAACCCTTTCCTTCAACTATGGTACAGTGACATTTCAGGACAATGAACTGGGAAAGAGTAAACTATTTCTAAAGTTTTCTACTTTTTTTTTTAAAGATTGGCAGCTGGGCTAAGATCTGTTGCCAATCTTTTTTTTTCCTCCTCCTTCTCCCCAAAGCCCCCCAGGACATAGTTGGATATTCTAGCTGTGAGTACCTCTGGTTATGCTATGTGGGATGCCACCTCAGCATGGCCTGATGAGTGGTGCCATGTCCTCCCCCAGGATCCAAAGGGGCGAAACCCTGGGCCACGGAAGCAGAGCACGAGAACTTAACCACTCAGCCATGGGGCCGGCCCCTCCACTTTTTAATGTTGTATAATTTTGATTTTTTCTAAATGAGACTAAATTATATAAGCCACATACCTTGAAGTACTGAGAACTTGACTAGATCTCCCTTCGCTACAATTTACCAATACCTTTCAATTAGCTCATTCAAAAATCTAAAACACAAATAAAACAAAACAGTGGTTCTGAAATTCTTGTAGACTTTCTTTTCTCCTTCACAATTTCCCCTTCAATTGTGGATGAACTCTGGATATCTTTTTATTTGATAAACTACAATATTATCTGTCTGTGAACCATAATGGATAGATTTAATTTAGAGGTGCCAGATGATAAGGGGTTATGATAATGTACTGATTTTCAACAAGGGGAGAGATAGTGTGGCCCACGGGCATTACCAGTTGTCACAATTGAGGGGTGCTCCTGGTATCTGGTGGGTGAAGACCAAGGATACAATAAACATCCTGTAATGCAAAAGAGAGCCCCCTACAACAATTATCTGGCCCAAAATTTGAATAGGGTCACAGCTGAGAAGCCCTGTAATAGTGTCGCCAGAATTGAAGGAGAAAGCTCTAATTCTCATATTCTATTTACAAAAGTATAATGAATACTTGAGACAACTGAAACAGTCACTTGACAAAAAGAAAAAAAGTCATTAGATATTAGAAGTAGTTTGGTTTGGGGCTGTACAAACTGGCTGCCTGCTTATTGGAATATTAAATATAAAATTCAGCAAATCATTTTATTAGTGTCATTAACGTCTCAAATTAAGGAAGGCACCAGCATGTCTTAGGAATCAGCCAGCAGGTGGCACTCAAAGCCAACAAAGCAAAGAACTCCATTTTAACAAGACTGAACAGCAGGGATTTTTAAACTCCTATTGTGTGTGTATTTATATCATTATAATTCATATATACAACATCCACAACCAATAGACAACCTTTGCTTACTTCTAAACTATTGCCAAAAATACTCCACAAATGAATACTTAAGTTAAAGCAAAAAGTTTGATGTTAAAATATTAATCTTAACTATCAACAGCATACAAAAAATAAATTGCATGTAAATTAAATAAGTAATTATTTTTCTTAATTATACCTTCAAGTGAGTTTGTAGGTTTTGAAATGAGTAATGCTGGGATATTAAGTAGGGATGAACTTGGAGGCCATCACATATACAATTCTCATCACTGCAATCTACAGTAATATAGTCCCTGTTCTACTTGGGTAACCAAACTACAAAGATAACTAAAAGCTGAAAAAAAGTTTATCATTACTAAAGTTCCTAGGTTAGCAGCTCTTTGAAACATTATTTCATTCAAATGCTACGTCTGCATGTAAGCAAACTGAGATCTATGTACACTGACCAGGAATACAGTCTATAATTTGTAATCATCACAGTTATATCACAAAAGGAAGGAGCTAATAAAGAGAAAAGCTAAAATTAAGGAAATAGGAAACGAAAATCAGAATAAAACCTTTCAAGTAAATCTAAGAGTAGACTCCTGGGGAAGAAAAATCCAACCAACAAATAGACAATCCTGGCAAAGCTAAGCAAGAAAAAAGGCAAGAAAGCAAAAATATGCATTAATTGTTAAAAAGGGGATATGACCACCGATTATAAGAGAACGCTATGTATAAGCTTACTGGGCGTAAATCTGGAAATCTTACTGAAATGGCCAACTTCCTAGACAAATGTAAATTTTTAAAAGCAACCTGAAGAAAAGAAAGAAAACTTGATTGCTGGCTTAGTTTCACTAGGAGTTTTCAAACTGTAGAGAGACAGTTTGGGGGGGGACACATCAAGACAGAAACAATGGTAGATAGAAGAGAGAGTAGAAGAAAAAGAAAATTCACGTTTTTCTCAAAAAAAATTTCAGAGAAATGAGGAAAAAAGAATATCTCTCAATACATTTTACAAAACTAACACCATTTAAATAACAAAATCTGATTAAGACACTCCACCCTTGTTCCCACCAGAAATGCAAAATTCCAGCAGTATATTAAAATATACAATTAAGCACAGTTTATATTGGAAATGAAAAGATGGTTCACTCTTAGGCAATCTGTTACTGTAACTCACCACTGAAAAAGCACTTCATAAAATACAGCATTTTTTTAATTTAAAAAAACTCAAGCAAAATAGAAATAGAAGAATCTTATTTTCTATGGATCTAATTCTAAGCTATCATCAGGCTTAAAGTGAAATACTAGACATTTCCATTTTGGGAATAATGGCACCTCCTTATCACCACTATAAATTTTTTCCATTATATATGACACAGGGTTAATATTAATATAGTGTTCTTATAAATCATTAAGAAAAAAATAACTATCCCAATAGAAAGGTGGATTAAGAATTTATAAAAAAGAAATGTAAAAAGAGCTAATGACAAACTTCAACTTCACTAGTGATAAAATAAAAAGCACATCAACACAGTGAAATATTTTCCAGCTGTTAGAATGGCAACTTTAAAAGTATAATACCTCTCATTGTAAAGAGTGTGGAGAAGAGATCCTTTACACATTATCAGAGGGAATATATACCAGTATATGCTTTACCAAGAGTAACTTAAAAAGATATAATTTAAAATTGTTATAAAATGGGAATAAGCCTTTCACCCAGTAATTTCACTCCCAGCAATCTATTTCAAGGTTTTAATAGAATAAGCATGCTAAAACATCTGCACAAAGATACTCATTATAGTACAGTTTTCACATAGAAAAATTAGTCATTATAAGACAATTTCACAACATAAGTAATGGTACCATCTTTTTTTTTTAAAGATTGGCACCTGACCTAACAAACTGTTGCCAAGCTTTTTTTTTTGCCTTTCTACTTTTTCTTCCCAAATCCCCCCCAGTACACAGTTGTATATTCTAGTTGTGGGTCCTTCTAGTTGTGGCACATGGGATGCAGCCTCAGCATGCCCTGAGGAACAGTGTCGTATCTCTGCCCAAGATATGAACCAGCGAAACCCTGGCCCGCCAAAGCGGAGCACGTGAACTTAACCACTTGGCCGAGGCTGGCTCCAGTAATGGTACAATCTTACACTCTAACATTATACATTCAAAAATTTTTTCGGTGAGGAAGATTGGCCCTGAGCTAACATTTGTGCCAATCTTCCTCTACTTTATGTGGGACGCTGCCACAGCATGGCTTGAGGGCCCGGGCTCGGTGGGCACCCATAATCCGCACTGTGAACCCTAGGAGGCCAAAGTCGAGTGCCCGAACTCAACCACTATGCCACCTGCCGGCCCCTCAAAATTACTTTAAATTTATCTTTGGAATAACGCCCACTATCAATTGAAGGACACAGACTGTAAAACAGTATTACACAGCATGGTACAACTTTCGTAAAATAACCACTACCTATCTACATACAACACGTGCATAAGAACAATTCAGAAGGGCACACACACGCCAAAACTTTAAGAGGGGTTATATACGTGAGGATTAAGATGGATTTCTATTTTCTTACATTAATTATTTTCAAATAACTTAATATGCTACTTTAACAATCAGAAAAAAATCAATAAAGCTATTAGCATCTACCCTCTTTTCCTCTAAAGGATGGAGAGGGAAAAAATTATTGTAACTAACTCCTTATAGTAACTCATAGTGATTATTAATTATTAAAATGAATAACTACGTGACCCAATTATTACAAATGTTATTTATCTATAATCATAAATTTTCATTTTACTATCTATATGTACTAATATAAACTAAACAGATTTCCTCACTTTACCTCCAAAAATGGAGACTAATCGTTACGACTACAAAGCCACACCCGCAGTACACACAACATTTCTGACTCGGGTCGGTCAGAAGCCCTCCCAGACTGCGCGTCGCGGGGCTGAGGCAACTCCAGGCATCTACGAAAACGCAGGCAAACGGACACCCCAAAGAGAAGGAAGACTGAGCACATTTTGCTCCGAGTCCCGGGTTCGGCGAGAGGGACAAGCGTCCCCGACGCCGACGCCCCAGCCCTCCCCGCCATGCGCCCCAGGAGCTAAGGCCCTCCGCCCGCGCGCGGCCATCATGGCGGCCGGCTCCTCTGAGGCGGTCGCACGAGGGTGCCTCCGCCGCCCCCTCCCTGGCATGAGGGGCCACCGCGCAGGCGCCGCAGCCCAGCCGCCTCAGCCGCGGCCCCACGCCGCCCCACCCCCCCAGCGGGTGTCCCCATTCCCACAGCCTCCGAGGGCCCCCAACCCCGCCGCCCCACCCTCGCCAGGGCGGGAAGGCGCCGCCCTCGGAGCCCGGGCCTCAGAGGCAGCCCGCGAGGCCCTCGGAGCCCACTCTAGGGCGCGTTCGGTTCGCGCGGCCCGCGCCGCCATCTCGCGGAGGCCGCCTCAGCGCAGGAGCAGCGCGAAAAAGGAGGCCGGTGGGGGGAGGGGACAGAGCAGGCCGCCCGCGCCCCAAGTCCCAGCCAGCCCAACACCCAGGCCGCCCGCAGGGCCCAGCAGGCCCGCGGCGGGAGGGAGGCGGTGGCGTACAGGCCGCGGCCGCGCACGTGCTCGGCGGGCGGGGCGCGGGCGGCAAGCGGGCGGGTTCGAGGCATCCTCCCAGCCGCCCCGCCTGCCCTCGGGGCCGTGTAGGCCGCGCCCTGGCTGCCTGGCCGCCCCCACTCCGGCCCGGCCTGCGCTGCACCGGGCAGGCGCCCCACCACACTAGGCCGAGCGTCGGCGCCCACCGCCCCTCAGGCCTCCTCTCCTCAACTCACCATGATGGCGGCAGCTCGCAGTTCCCACCGCTGAGGCTCGAGGAGGAGCAGAGGCCGGCTTCTAGCACCACTCTGGGGGCTGCTGTTAAGGCTGCCCGTGCTCACTGCCCGGCTTCGACTGGGCGAGAGGAGAAGAGTCAGACGAGGAAGGACCAGCAAAGGTGGGAGCCGAGGCGGACGAGCCGAGACGCAGCGGCCAGGCTGAGGGGGGCAGGCTGACTAAGGCGTGGCCGCGGGGCCCGTGGGGCTCTGCGCCGGGTACGCTCGGAGGGCGGCACCAGCCAATGGGCGGCACGCCCCCGCCCCCTGCGGGGGCCCCTGGGGGGACACCGGCGCCCCGGCAGGGATGCTCAGGGGGTGCACAGGGGGTGCGCGTGGGCCGGCAGCATGCACCCGGGAGGCGTCGCCCAGACACAGACAGGTCCACGGACACACCAACGTGACAGTGCCACTGAAGGTCACTTGACAGAAGTATGCGTACTTAATTGTATGTTAAAGTTAAAAAAAACTTAATATGTCTAGGCTCTAGTTTCAAAATGGCGTCCTGAATGCACGGGATTAGTCCAATCATTCCCTATCGCCGGCCCCCAAATCAAATACCTACAGAAATAGAAAATAGAGACAAGTCTATGGAAAATAGGGAAGGAGACATCAAAAGTCCAGAAACTTGGACGCCTGCTGTCAAGTTTGAGGTGGAAGAAATAGGAGCTGAGCAGCCCGATTTGCTGTTCAGGATGTTCATTCCTTCAAGAAAGGTTTGTTGAGTGCCTGCGATTGCCAGGTACTGCAGATGGAGGAGTGAAGAAAACGGGCAAACATTTCTTCCCTCAGGGAGTTTAAACTGTAAGTGGGAGAGTTTACCTTCTAGGCCTTACAAGAAGCAGCTAGGCCTACCTAGAGAATTCTAGAACATTCTCAAGGTCAGAGAAACAGGGCCCAGAGCGAGGGGAGCTGTGAGGCAGTTGGTGGAGCACATCATGCAACTTTGGAAACCACTTCAGCACCCTCTAGGCACAGGAGGTAACTAGCTATGACTTTTATCCTCAGACTTCACTTTTGTACTGATAGAAAGCATTAAACGGTTATTTTGTGAGTTGGCAAAATGGTGGACTTTGTAACCTGAATACTGTATATCACTACCAACACTTAGCATTACTGAATAAAATAATGACTAACTTTATTTTTGATATGCAGCTAAACCTATAAGAAGTGAAGAGAAATCCCAAGATGCTAGAAATTAAAATAAATTGAAAACCAGAGCAGTGACTTGTTGAACTGGTTCTTCTCTGGCCCTGAGTGCGAGGGCTGGGGTGTAGTTTGACCCAAAAAACTAGTTTGCTCTGGACTTTCCTGGTTTTAGCACTAAAAAACCCCTGCATTCCTGGAAACCAGGTCCCAGGCAAACAAGGATAGTCAGTCATCCCAGGTGAGGGCAAGATGTCTCTGGAACTCAAGGCCTGGAAGTATAGGGGCAGGAGGTGAGGGTCTGGAGTAGGTGGTGGGAGCTGGAACTCAATACACTACAAAAGGCCGTTGTCCCTGAAAGACCTCGTCCTCAGGAAAAGAGGAGACGAGGGAAAATATCGAACACCCAGTGGACAAACAGACGAGGAAACTTGTTCCACTTCTGGATGAAAAGAAAAAAATTATTTACCTCTATGAAATTTTGAAACCCTAGACCTGCATTTCACAAGAGTTTGGAGTTTAAATTTATAGCACATGTGTGTTGTTAGAATCTCAACATCTAGAAATTGATTCCCCCAACCCCCACCACCTCCCCCAAAAGATCCCAGACAAGGTGCATTTGGAATGCCTGGCAGAAATAAACATAAAACCAACCTGGAGGGATGCTTCCATAAAAGGCTGAAAGGGATTGTCATAAGAAAAGGACCCTTTAAAGAGAAGCTCAGGGTGAAAAATTATAAAACATTATTTACCATGAATGAGAATGGCAGACAACAAAGAAAATTAAAATGCCCAAAACTTACAGAAGCAGCTTCTTTTGGATTGAGTGTGTCTTTGCTTTTTCTCTTATTTGGAGTAATATATTCCATGTATATTTTAAGGTGATTATTCTATTTTAACATGTAAACTTAAAAGTCTAGAACTAATAAATACCTTTACTGTCCTCTTGAATAATTCAAAGTGCTTGGGATGTTTTAACTCTGCACATCGCCTCCCGTTTTATAAGCTATTATCATTGTTATTCACTACTTTAGTTCTATTCTGTATTCCTCCTATAAATTAGACCATGAGTTTTAGACCCACCCACATGTGTAAAAACATTTTCTTACCATTTCTTTGCATATCTGTGATCTTCCTTCTGGATTATTTCCCCTGCGCCTGAAGTAAGTTCTATAGAATTCCCTTTAAGGAGAGGATGATGTGGTAAACTCCCAGGTTTTTTCTCACCTGAAAGACTTTCATTTTGCCCTTTTTCGTTGAAGATAATTCTACTGGATATATAATTCTAGGTTTACCGTTGTCTTTTTTTTCTCGGAATATTGAACATATTATTCCATTATCTTCTGGTTTCCGTTGCTACTGAGAAATCTATCAATCTAATTACTGGTTGACATCTATTTTTATTTGGTGTTCTGAAACTTCAAAATGATGCGACAAGGTGTAGAGTTTTAAAAATTTCTCGTCCTTAGGAGTTTTTGGACTCTCTGGATTTGTGGATTAGTTTTCAACCACTCTAAAAAATTTCACCCATTTTCTTGTCAAAGATTAACTGATTAAGGAATTCATCTATTTTCATCTTTCATCTTTCATAAGCAATTCTTACAACTATTTTTGTTGAGATCATGACTTTTTCAAAGGTTGTGTTGTTTTCTTGAAATCTTACAAAATCTTCACTTAATAGAAAAAGAATTGTTATTTAAGATCAAAAGTGACTAATCGTTTCAGTGTGTTAAGATTGGTAGCATAATTCACATCAATTTAGAGATAAATGTCTGTTTTGCCTCCAGAGACTGGTAGAGAAGGGAGAAGAAAGAAAGGCCAATGTTTTTTAACTCCTCTGCCAGTGCTTTTGTGCTCCGAAAGCCTAAGACTTTGCTTAGAGGGTTTACAATTAGTATAAGCACTCCCAAACTTCATTCATTTGCAGACTATTTTTGTGATTGTTGTTGTATCTGTTCTGAATCTCCACATTATTATTTATCTAATATTTTAAAAAACGGACTCATTGTCATCTTAAACAATAGTATTTATGAAATCATGTTTATTGTGTTACATTTTTTAGCAATGCACGGTAACATAAATATATAACTATTAAAATTTAAAAACAATATTTGTTCATGGATCAGTTCAGATCACAAGCTCCCAGGGCAACAGGGAACATACTTTTGGAAAATACTGGATTGGGAGAATTCTTTGTGTAGTCTTTGGATATGCAAAGTTAGGTCCAAGGAACTAGGGAGTGGAGTGTCAAATTGTTCTACATAATAAATGAGAGTAATTGAATTTGAAGGGGGAAACCAAGCAAGGCTGGAAATGTTGAAATCTGGGAATTTGGAGACAAGAAGTTGGAACCTGCACTGAAAGATGCTATTTGAGTACATTGGAATCATCTGAGGCATTTAAAAGTTCATATTCCCAGACCAATTAAGTCAGCTGAGGGTGAGACTCAGACATCAGTATTTTTTTTTAAAGTTTCTCAAATTACTCCAATATGCAATCAAATTTGAAAATCTTTGCTATACAGCTTTCCTACTCAAAGTTTGGTCCTCAGAGCAGCAGCTTCACGTCACCTGGGTGCTGTGGAATCTCAGGCCTCACCCTAGCCTTACTGAAGCAGAATCTGCATGTTAAGGTCTCCAGACAGCTCACAAACACATTAAAATTTAGGAAGCCCTGACAGAGAATATTTGCCATAAAGAACTTGCATGCTTGGATTTAAGGATCCCTTACCTTACAGGGAGAGATTGCTTTCCCGGCCTCTCTTGCAGCTAGACCTGGGCATGTGATTTATACAGCACTGCTGAGATGCACCCATCCTCAATTTTGAATAGAAGACTAATGATGCCACAAACGAGTGATTGCGGAGAATACATTCTGGAGAGAGTGGCAGCAGCAGCAGCCCACTGCTGGCATCAGTTAGAGCAGCACTGCCCACTGCTGTCCGTCGTGCAAGCTGTGATGTGATTCAGTGCCCAGTGGTGGCAGCTGGAGCTTCTTCACTGGACCAGTTCTGCAGCATGATTCCATGTATCATTCCTGGAGACACAGACTTCCAACCTGGTTCTTCAGTCCTTTTCAAGATTCCCCTCCTGCTTAAATCAGCCAAAACTTCTGTGGCTATTGCTTGCAACAAAGAACCTTGATTGACTAGGTGATGAGTGAGGTCAGCCAAAGTACTTTTAAGAAGACGGTTAACAGCTGAAAGATTTATGGCTCTTCACTCTGTGACTCCATAACATAATAGCCCTCTATTGCTTGCGACCCTTAGTAAGGTTCTATTGCATACACAAAAGCTTTGTGCCAGTGGTGTTTTGTGAGGCATGTCAAGGAAAGGGTCTCTTTTCCCTCTTTGTAGCAACATGGTATAGATAAAGACTGTATGCTGAGCAGCAAGGTGATCCGCAGATCAAATGCAGCAGGAACAGAGAACCTTGGAGCCACAAGTGACCTGGAAAAGCACAAATCATACTCTCAGAATTCCCAAAGAGATAGGAAGAGCTAAGGGTGCTATTCCCATTGCATGTGGGCTGGAGTTTGAGCCAATTTCATTTAAATCTCAAGGAACTGAGCGCCTCAGCTCCCATTGGACCTGAATTCACATTGCCCAGCATAACAACACACATCTCGAGTGCACTTGTGCATACTCACAGAGATGTCTGTCCTCTGAGCAGTGTTGCTTAAGCCCTGCTTGTTCACCTTTAATCCTAGTACCTACATAATAATTTATTCATTCAACACAGTCCCCTAAGCAGGTTGCCTGAATTTTGGGTTGGTCTGAACCAAGCTGACCTAATCTTCACAATGGCTTTGTAAGACCTGCCTAAACAGATGACTGTGAAAAATGATTGACTTATTAAAAGTAGCAATAATGACAGTAATCACTGCTATGGTGTTTACTATGTACCAGGCACTATTCTAACCATTTTACTGTTCATCTAATCTTTCTAACAATAATAGGTACTATTTTTATCCCTGTTTTATAGAGAAGGAAAAAGCAGCACAGAGAGGTCAAATAACTTGGCTGAGATGGCACAGTTGGTAAATACCAGAATGGCAATTTTTAACCC